TACCCGACACCAGTGACATATTCGTTGAGGACACAATCGGCATGTCGGGTTTCTCCTTTCCGAGTGACAGCCAGCCACTCAACTCGCATTTCTGCGGACACCAGGCCCGCTCCCTGCAGCCCTGCAACGCATCATTGCACGCTCGCCCTACCATCCCCTCGCTTGCCACTGCACCGGGAAAGGGGACGTTCTTTGCATGAAATAAAAAAGGGTGAATATTCCCAACCTCACTCAGCTTGACCTCTACGTGCCCATTTAATTTTGGCAAGTTGAATCCAGCACGGGCACACTTAAAGTCATGCGCTTGCGCGAAGGACTTCTGATTGTGCAGAAGGTCATCAACCGAGCGAGCTTTCAGCCACACGGCTCTTGTCCTTCCTGCATACAAGTCAGTGAGTGACACTGGCACTACTCTCTCTTTAATCCAATCCTTAACATACGCGTCCACTTTCCTTTTATCAACAATAGTACAAAACGAGACTTTCACAGTAATGTTAATTCTCGGGTTTATTCCAAATTTCTTTTTACACACCCCCGTGAGGATACCTCTTAGGATTTGTCTCCCTCTCTTTTGGCTAATAGTTTTCACACTGCTGTTTAGCTGTATCAATTCCTCAAGTGGGAGTACAAGCAACTCTTTCCTTTTTCAGGGTGCACGAAGCAGTGAAATAAGTCTCGCTTTATCACGCTCAATTCTGGTCTTAGTCATACATAATGCAATCACAGACTAGCTGCCCCCTCTTTCAATCATAGCCTTTGCATCCCCGAGTAATAGCCTCTCATTGTTCCCTTCAATCTTAGTCGACCCAAACAGCAATTTAACGAGTCTCCACGCCTTAACCCATTGACAGCGAGCATTGTTCGAAATCACCACTGGGCACTTAATTTTACGCTTACGCACTACTTTGAGAATTCCAAGCAAGTCGGGATCCTGTCGCACGCCCACTGTAGGGCAGTCAAAGAACAGAGGCTCACTTACTGTATTCGGCACCAGCCTACTAACTTCCTTACTTCCTCCCCCCAGACTTCTTCATGGCCTTTTTCTATGCCCAAACCCTTTCAAATTAAGCCCTGGGTTATGACTCTTAATGATCTTAGTCTCCATTCCCTCAATAGCAAGTTGCTCCTCGAACCAGATTAGGATCGGAACATAGTGTTGTGGTCCAGCTTTCCTCAACCATATGTGTAAGCGCTGCCTACTACTATCGGTAATCGCCCGACAGTGTTCTCGCCACCTATCTTTGAGAGACCTTACCGTCTTTCCCACGTAGGTATGCCTATGGCTCAATGACATAATAGCATACACACAGCACCCGCCATTCAACAAACGCTCCCACTCCAGTCGGGACATTCGCAGCCAGAATCGCACATATGCTTTGCCCCACGCAATATCATCCCACACACACGCCAGCAGGATGATAAGGATATGAATCTGATCTAACACAGGACTCAAGGTACTATCCACACGGTTTTTCAAAACCACCACCCTATTCACCGCCCGTTTCAGGGAGTGCAGACTACCAAGCTGCTAGTTACTGGTAACCGCCCCAATCTCAGCACCATCACTGAGATCCGAATTGTCAGGATTCCGTGAAGACTCAGCCATACCCTTCGGGGCTATGCCCTTGAGCTGTTCTGCATATTCCAGTCGTGCGAGCTCCCAGGAACCAGTGTCCTTTCGAACATAATGAACCCCCTTTTGCTTGCAAAGCTCCTAGACTCTTGCGAAATGCAGAGACATGTAAAGTCCTGCCTCATTTTCATATACGCCGCAAGGCCACCCTCATCAGCTTCTTCCTCCTCGCCTTGGAGAGGCTTCTGCGTTAGCTCCAGATCCTCAATCTGTTCTGCCTCATGCTCTGTGTCAGGAGCATGTTCGGGAGTACTGGCACGCTGCTTACCCTTCTGTACAACAAGGCCTTGCACCAATTCAGAAAGTAACTTCTTAACTTCGGAGAGATCGCTGCTTTTCTCCATTTTTGGCGTCAGATTCTGCTTGACACCATCATCTTCATCATCTTCATCGGACGAAATTTCCACTCTTCGCGATCTTGATTTCGAACTTTCACGCGATCGCACTTTCGAGGCACTTGTCTTCGGGGTAGCCACCGCCGGAACAGCAAGGGCGACCGCAGCCCGCTTCCGCTTCTCATTACTTGCTTCTTTTCCTCTATTCATCACTATCAACTCCAAAGCCGCCTTCTCCGCTCGCAGCCTCACGAGCTCCTCTTTTTCCGCTGCAGCAACATTCGCCTTCGCATCAACCTCTTCTAGCTTCTTTGTAATCAGCTTCAGGGAATCTCCTAGCGTTGAGGAAACCCACGCCTTCATCTCATCACTTCGATCCTCACCCCGTCCGTGAGGAGTACGGTTCTCACCGGAGTTCCCAGTTATCTGAATACCACATCCTCGCCTGTTCCCAACGCTTTTCTTCTTAGCTTCATCCAGTACCTTCGTTGACTTGATATCCTCCAATATATCCATGTACTCTTTGGTAAAGTAAGCCCGATTCCCAGGCCCCGGGAATGCATTCGCAGCCAGCCCTTTGCCCGAGTTCGACGACCGATCACCTGAGAACTGGCCATTCTGAAGCGAGCTAGGCTGATTACTAGCTTGCTGCTGCTGCTGGCTATTCGTCGGTGGAATCGCCGGCACCGCAGCCTGAGGATGCATTACGACCGGTGGTTGCACCACCACTGGTTGCGCAACTTGCGCCATTGGTACTGGTTGTGCCATCGGTTGTGCCATCGGTTGTGCCATCGGTACTGGTTGCGCCGGAGCCATCATCCATGGCCCCGCCATTGGCCATGGTCCCGGCCATGCCTGCGCATTCCATTGTCCAACTTGTTGTTGCGCTTGATAGGCACCACCATTCCCCCCGGTACCGGAGCTCACCGGTGGCGCCCCCGCTTGATTCATCATCGGATGCTGGCCAGCAGGACTATATACTCCAGGAGGCGGCGGGTTATACTGCCCCGTTTGGCCACTACCACCACCTCCATTCATATTGGACCAATACCGTCCGCAATTGGACCAACGTCCCTTCCACGATGCACCTCTCCCGTTTCTGTTACGCCCGTACATACGTCCCAGCACGGATAGTACGAGCAGAACCCCTCCAATCCCGATGCTCCACGTGACCCTCCTATCCTTATTCCCCGTTTCACTCACCCATTACGACACTCTAAGCATAAGATCGCCAATGACTCCCGGGCTGTCGCACGCTTTTACCATCGTCACTCCGCAGCGTTGATCTCAAGGATTGCAGCACCAATCAACGTCGTCCTTCTATCATTACTCATTAATACGCATTAGCACGCCTTAACACACGTATACCGCCAGATAACCCAGCCAGTACACGCGCCTATTCCTGCGCTTTAGCCCCTGCTCGAGGACATTCACCATCCCGAGACCATCGCCATCGGTCCCGCCTACCAGGCGGATCCATAACCCAGCGCCTCTTCAAAGTACCTTCTCATTTACCCCGGTATCTTGCCCAAATACATCCAACCTGCTCTGCCATACCAATTCGAGGGCACCTTGGTCGCACGAACCTACCAAGGCCCCTTATCCAAATTCATCGAGGAATTTCCCACGTACCAGGCCCACCACCTGCCTAGTTTCACGTTTCGTAGTTGGCCTCGAATCCGCAAGTGCCGGATTCCACTATATTTACCCAAGTCACTTGCCCAAATTCATACGGAAATATATCTACTTATTTACCATGTTTTCTGACCCCGTCCCTATGTTTGGATCTTGCGATACCTCCACGCTACCCTCGGTGGTTCTGTCACCCATGATCCGATTGCCTGTTGTAATACTGTCACCCGCTCCTCAGCGGTTACTTCCAGCCAGGCACGGGAACTTGTGGCACACGTAGTGATGTCAAACGCAATCCAATTTTGCCACCACCACGATCCTTCGAGACACCACGATCTACGCTTCTCTCCCAGCCACACACGGGAGATAGCTACCATTCCCGCCCAAAAGGAAGTGGGCTCTCGCCTACTCATCCATTCTAGTCCAACAATAACCACCTTATTCGGGTACTCAAGTTTCTTCAGCTCCTCCACCAGCGTGAGCACATTAAGGAACGTGACCCCCAAATTGTTCGAGTTTCTGAATACACGAAGA